ATTTCTTTTATGGGTATGTTGGTCATAGGGAGGTCCTTCGCTGAGACAGGGCCAGAGCTGGTTTGGCAAGGATGGCACCATAGCTAAGCAGATCTACAGCTCTCTGTGTTTTATGTGGGTCTTCTCAGGAGTCTAACTGGGGCTTTTTAAGAAAACCTTGTCCTGGACAAGCAGGCGTTCATACCTGACAGGCAGTCCTGCAGGGGAAGCCATTTTTCCCATTCATGTGCCAGTGGCCATTAATAGAAGTCAGGAGCCACCTCACTGACACATTCATGTGCCCTGAGCATTGCAGTTGTCTCCACCTCCCTTTCATCTTACAACTGATCCTGTTCCGATGCGTGTCCACCCCACACCAGATGTGATCATCCTTGATAGAGTCAATGCCTCTCAACCCTAAATTAAAATCAACCAGGGAGCTGCTGGTGTAGCTCAGGACCCATGTTCTGAGCGAGGTGTGTGTGTGTGTGTGTGTGTGTGTGTGTGTGTGTGTGTGTGTATTCATGTGTGTGAATGAGGGTACACCTACGAATACCATGGCACACTTGTGAAGGTCAGAAGACAACCTGGGTTATCAGTCCTTGCTTTCCACCTTGTTTGAGACAGAGCTGCTAGGTTCTACATGGGTTCTAGGGTTTCGCAGGTCCTCATGCTTGTGTGGCAAGCATCTTTACCCACCGAGCCATCTTCCCAGCCCCCGGAGGAAAACTGTTAAAGTTACTACAGACAAGCATCATATAAATTTCACGGTCTTCACCACTGTAAAGTGGTGTCAAGCATGACACTGCCGTGCCACCACCCCCAGCATGCATCTCCAGAACTTTTTCTAGGCCAGAATTGATCTTCTATGCTTAGGAAATAATTCCTATGCTCTCCTGTCCAGCTCCAGGCAACAACTAGAGTGGACCTCCTGCCTCTTAAAACGACTACTCGAAGTTCTCCAGGTAAGTGGAATCATACAACATTTGTCCTTCTGTTACTCACTTATTTCACTTAACATGATACCTTTGGTACTTAGGATGCAGCATGAATCACACTTTCCTGCTCACTTGAAGCTGAATGATATTCTACTGTGGCTTTATACTTCATTTTATTTATCTATTCACCAGTAGATACAGATTGCTGGTTTTTTTTTTTTTTTTTTTTTTTTTTTTTTTTTTTTTTTTTTTGGTCTTTTGCTACTGTGACTAAAGCTGCTATGGCTGTGGGTATCTACATAGCTACATATCTGTAGATATGTCCAGAGGTAGTTTTAGGATTTCCATGGGATAATGGAGGGACCCAGGAGGCACCACGCCTCCCGAGGGATTACTGACTGTTAATGGTTGCTGGTGGAGCAGGGGTCGGTTTCTTCAGTGGTGTAGCCATTGATCAGTTGTCCACGGCTTCAGCAGATAACCTTCCACCTTGGACAAGGAGCTCTAATTAGATTCAGAGAGCCACACATAAAGAGGACATGAAAGTAAGAGGGAGACTTCTTGGGGACAAGAAGGATTTCAGTTGGCGGGAGTGATAGAGGCAAAAAACCAACTAAAATGCATTATCCGTGTGTATGAAACTGTCAAAGAATAAGAAAGAAAAGGAGTTCCATGGGGTTGGAAAAGTGGGATTGGCAGCCAGAGCGGGGATACCGTTGGTGTTGCTTCCTGTAGACTGTTTTGAGGGGTCCTGGGAAGAGACCATATTATCTCAGTTGGCTCCTGCCCACTGGGCCTTGCTAATTATAGCAGTCATGCCAAGTTATCTCCAACATGTACATCTGCCTCCTTCAGTAGACTCACAGACCCAGGAGAGTGGGTGGGTTTGCTCCCCTCGATATCCCTAGATCTTGTTCCAAGCCTGACACCCATCAGAATTGTCAAGTTGCTGCTGAATAAAGAGCTACAGGAACCTATAATTTTCCACCATCCCACACTGCAAACAGCGATTCCCTTCGCTGCCAGGATGTTGTGACTCATGGCCTCCTGAGCCCAGCTCTAGTCCTGCAGCCTGATGTACTCTGGGCCTGAGTCAATGTGGGGGTGCAAGATCTTCATGAGACAGAACTGCAAGTGTGAGAAAGCCAGTGGGCTCCAAGAGTGGAACAAGGCCAAGGAAGGAGAGGAGATGCCTTGGTCCCTCACTCTACCCTCTTCTGGAGACATCCTTCCCAAGGAATGGCTACCGCCCATTCTTGCATCTAAATAAGAGGCCCAATCAATCTTCCCGCAAATATCTGCTTCTCCATCTCCAAAAGCCACTTAAAAAGAAGAGAGAAAGAATGTAACTGAGTTTCACTGGAGTGGATTTGTGTGTTTTTTCCTCTCTGTGTGTCTGGAGCTCCACATTCCTGTGTTTTCTTTGGTTTTAATTTTAACCTGAGATCGATTTTTTTTCCTTCAAAATGGAAACCTATGGAAATTAAAAAGTAGCACTAGATAAAAGAAATGCCAAAACACCCAGGAGAGTCCTGTGTAGTACCACACTGAGGTCTAGGAAGGGATTTGCAGAGAACGTCTTTGTCATGTGGAGAAGTAGTGTGGCGAATTAAGAATGCTCGGCTCCCCTCCCCGCCATCTCAGAAGCGAGCAGATGCAGCAGGGTGTGCTGGGACGGAGAGGCAGGAATGATGTCTTGGTAGGCAGAGTAACACTGACTCTTCACTGTGTCTTTGGTATTTCTCACATCTGGGCTCCCTTTCACTCAAACAGTAAACTGCCTGGGGGCTGGATTAGCTGGGGTATACCTGGGAAAACATATGGCAGATGTCTTCGTTTCTGCTTTATTTTGTTTACTGTGGAAACGGCTGCATTGATTTTAATTTGGAAATACTGCATTAAAATGATTGCTTGTGGCCCAGGATGGTCTCCAACTTGCTATCTAACTGAAGGTTACCTTGAACTGGTGATCCTTCTGCCTCTACCTTCCAAGTGCTGGGATCACAGCTGTGCACTACCCCACCCAGGTTTATTCAGTACTGGTGATGGAAACAAGGGCTTGCACAGGCTAGGCAAGCATTTCACCACTGCAGACTCATCCCAGCCTCCTACCCACTTAGTTTTATGCCTCCCTTGCCTCATCTGATGCCTCCAGTTGTCCTCATTGACATTCTGCCATGATGATCCATCCTTCCACTGTTACATGATAACCCACTCCCGGCACCAGAGAGAAACTCAAGAAGGCCTGGGAAGATGGCCTTCCTTGACAAGGCCTTTTGCGAATGTCATCTTGCAGTTTCACAGTTGAGATGAACACAATAATCAAAGGCCCGCTTGTTTTTAAAGGCATCATCCTTACACAAAGTGGAATAAGAAATGGAGCCCCTGGAGCAAACCGTGACTATGCTCTATGCTCTGCAGCTCTGTGGCTGGATGAGGCAATGGGCCCTGGGTACTCAAGGACTTTTTACCACACTACCTGGGGCAACCCTGGAGGGGGAGAATTTGCAGTATGGTAGAAGGGTGGGACAACTTCTCAGTGCATATGCAACTCTCTGATTTACCACCGTCTCTAACCTAGAAAGGTATAAAAAGAAGGGAAGCTGTGACTTCAGCCCTTCTGACTAGCAGAGGACAACAGAGACCCTTGTATCTCAGGTCAACTCTGTGAGGACCTATGTGGGACCCATGAGATGTCTCCCAGCTCTGCCCTGGTTACCGTACCAGTGGTGAACCAACCTGATAAGAAACTGCCTGAGTCCTGGCTGCTCTTAGACCGTCTTCAATGTCTGAAGCTAGCTCCTTATGATGGCCTGGATATGGACTATCCACCACAGGCTCATGTGCTTACACACCGAGTTTCCAGCTAGTGGTGCCATTTTCTGAAGTTGGGGAACCTCTTAGAAGACGCTGAGGAAAGAGCCATAAGGGTTGTAGCCTGAGCCTGCTTCTTGCCTAGCCTTACTCTGACTCCTGGTATGCTGGGGTGGGGTGGGGTGAGGTGGAGGGCTCCCATCCACACACTCCTGCCTCCATGCATCCCACCACGTCTCCCCTGCTACAATGGAGTGGTGTACTCTTTCAAACCACAGACCAACAGAAAACTTTTCACCCTTGAGCTGTTTCAGTAAGATACTGTCACAGTCACAACTTCCAGTAACTAATGCGTTTCACCCTGGTGGCATTATTTTAATACGTTTCATTATTTTAAACTGGAATCTCATGTACCCCCAAGCCCGCCTGGAACTATGTACATATGGCTAACCTCAAGTACCTGCCTCCATCTTCCAAGTACTGAGATTCTAGGCGTGGCCTGCCAAGTGTGGCTTTATCTTAATACTTCCTTTGCTAGTCCCCTTTCCCTTCCCTCCCTCCCCTCCCCTCTTTCTGAGACTTTCCATGATGGAGTGATTGAGTTCGCAGTACTAGGAACTGAACCAAGGGCCTGGAGCACAGAAGACAAGGGATCTGCCACTGAGCCCTAGCTCTCGTGGGGAGAAGAGGAAGTCCTGAGTGAATATATAAGGAGCCAGGGAAGTCCTGGGTGAATGTGTGTTGTAGACATTGGTATGGCCAAGTCAAGGACCCCAATGCCATAGACCCATGGAAACAGCAAAGCTTTCCTCTGATGTTGACAATGTGCGTAAAAACAAGAAACTGCAGCCCCACCCCCACCCCCACTCCATGAAATGGTTCCCCTACAAAGACCTCCCACTGAGACTAATTCCTCCTCCTTGTGGGATATGTGATAAGTGTGCTGAGTGTAGTAAGTGCCCTCCATCAGGGTGAGCACAGCTCATGGGATCCCAGCTTTCTCTAGGGACATCTGCCATTTCTTTGTCCCCTCATTGCCCCATCCCACAAGCCCTATAGGACGCTGCAATCTCCAGCCTTCTTTTTACTTTTTACTCTGAGATAACATTCTTCTGTTGCGTAGACCTCTTGATCCTCCTGGCTAGGAATTCCTGAGTAGCGGGGATTCTAGAGAGACACCGATGAGCCAAGCTGAAGTACGCAGCTTAAGGCACACGGAGACACTCAGACCAGTGCTGTTCAGTCCCGAGGCCTGCCCCACAGCCTTACCAGGACCGTGTGCATTCCGGTGTAGAGTCTGCTGAGACACACCAACGTAGAGAACACCACAGCCATTGTCAGGCCCAGAGCAAAAGGGTACTGCAGAAGAGGAGAGAAAAGAAGGATATTAGATCATGTTCAGATGAATGCCTCTCTCTCTCTCCTGTGTGTGTGCGTGTGCATGTATGTGCGTGCGTGCGTGCGTGCGTGCGTGCGTGCGTGCGTCTGTGTGTGTGTCTGTGTGTGTGTGTGTTATTTTATTTGGGATTGGATTTAGAGCTAAGCAGGCATTCTGCCACTAGCCCCCTTCTATTTGATTTTTTTGCCGTGAGGCAGTCTCTAAGTCACCGGTGCTTGAACTTGGGATTCTCTCATCTGGCCCTCCTGAGTAGCCAGGACTCAGGTTAGACTTAACTGTTTTGATGTCACAGCTGGGAATGGGATTCATTGTACACGGTTGCTAATCTGAGTCTTATCTTCCCTCACCCAGCAATCTAATCATCTGAAAACATTTTCAAATCAGACCAGGTAAGGAGAAAAATGCCTAGAAATACAGTTCTGGGGGAAAGCTTCCCATCATATAAACATATATACAGAAGAACTGGGGCTGGCACTTTGAGTGTAATAACTTTTTTTTTTTTTTACATATTTCTTTAACCATTTAAAAAATATTTATTGAATCTGGGTTACCACCTACATCCTGAGGAACAACCCGTATGGCCACATAGAATGCTCCTTCAGGCTTCCTAAGGAAGGCAGCCTGGGGCAGGACAGAGATTAGGACCCACAGGGAGAGGTGCACCTCAGACACATTTATTGATGCTACATTATAAATGGTACTTAGACAGGATACAGTGGTGTTCCACGTTCCCATCTAACAGGGCTTGCTGAAGTTTGGCAGAGATAAGTCACCTTGAATGGAGTCAGGGTGTGGTTATAGACAGCCCTGGGCAGGTGCAGGCTGGAGCCTTTCAAAGGTTTACTTCTTTCATTAGCACTCCTGATCTTATGAACAATGAAGGTCATCAACCCCTTTCCCATCCAAGTATCCTGGCAAACTGGGATATAGCGAGGTTTCCTGGGGACTCAGATAGTCTTGGAAACATCCTGGCAGGACCAACACCACCCACAACCAACTGGGGAAAGTCGCTGAACATGTAGGCACCTCACAGAGTCTCTACCAGGTTGTTTTAAATCAGAACCTGAGAAATAAACAGCTTGACTAGGAACTAAGGTAGATGGCTGTCATTCTATAGTATGAAGTCCCAACAAATAACTGTTCCTTCTGAGAAGCCCCAGGAACAACAGGCTGAAGGATGGACATACAGATGTCACAGCATTTGTCTAGCATCTGCTGAATCTGGTGTCTGCAAGGGCAGTAAGAATAGCTACCGGAGTCTGGCTAAGGCTGAGTCACGTAAGGAACACAGATACTGTTATAACCAGGTCACAGACATACAATGTACCTGCTTTTATAACTAACATGCTGTTCCGTAGCAACACGGCACTGATCCACCCAGTCCTTAGGTCTCCACATGACCCTAGGAAGTAGGTTCCATGTCAGGCCTGTTGTACAAATGGTAATGCCTGATAGGATGGCCATGATGGTGAGTCATGGCCACACTGAACTTGACCTCAGGATGCTTTCCTGTCAGTCATGACATTTGGTGCTCACAACAGGAGCCAGAGAAATGTGCACAAAGTCACACAGCCAGTGACTCAGTCAGAACCAGGAGCCATTATTTTCTGTTCTTTCCTAGGTAATACTGAGTCCAGTAACACTTGGTTGAAAACATCCTCTTTAATATATATATATATATATATATATATATATATATATATTTTTTTTTTTTTTTTTTTGAGAGAAGATCTTACTGTGTAGTCCAGGCTGGCCTTAAACATCTGATCCTCCTGAAGTCTCCTCAGCTTCTCTTTAAAGACTTTTCATTGACTTAGTCTCAGATTTGCATCAGAAAGTATTTAAAGTGAGTAAGTTTATGCATTCAGATGTTAGCTTGACTGCACAAATAAATAAGTAAATCCATATTTAGAGCTATTTGCAAGTAAATAAACCCAAGTAGCTGAGTGTATTTATCATGAACGGCTAAGCAGGAAAGAAATCACACTTGAGACCTTAGGGTGACTACTACATCATGTAAGCCAGAAAGAACATTGAACTGGATAGCTTTAAAAGGGCATTCGGACTTGTAGCCAAGATGGCCTTGATGACCAGAGGCCACATCAGTACAAACTTATGTTTGTACTTGTGGAAACAAAGGGAACGGGAATATTTTGAAGTGAGGTTTTGAAAGGTGATTGCTCTCTTCCTGAAGCCAGCTTCTCCTCATGGTGGGTTAGAATGGCATTCAAATTGGAAACTAGGAGTGTACTTTGGTTTCAACATAAAATGCCCCGCCAGGTGAATGTTTGGTCATTGTAGTCTTGGACTATTTGATGTAAACTTTGGTGGTGTAAACTTTAGGAGGAGCACCCCAATGGACTGAGGTCACTCAGGCATGCCGTTAAAGATGAAATCTCTCATCTGCCCTGTATCTCCCATCCATCAGGATGTGAAAACCCTCCATGGCCATACACACTCCTGCTACTATGATGGTCTGTCCTTGATCTTTGTCCTAAATGACAGCATATTCACAGATCTCTCTGTACCAAGAACACTGTATACTGGGCTGGGGCTGGGCCTACTGTGTCCTGCTGGGCAGCAGAGTATGCGTGAAACACAGCTCAGAAGCCAGCATGAACTCAGACAGTTCTGGGGACCCCAGATACTTTTGGGTCCTGGCATGGCATTTGAACAGGTCACCACACAGTGGTTACAGCTAGTTGGATGCATTCCTTATGAATGTCTTTGTCCCATCGAGGAAACAGATCTATGCCCACGTGGTTGGGAAGAAGATTAGAGCTGAGATCTGATCCAGTTCTGACCTCTTCCAACCATGCCAGCTGAATGAAGAACCTTGGAATATGGAACAGCTGGGGATCTCTGGGGTACAGAGCAGGGTGACCCACTGTTACCATTTACTATAAGACCACCAGATTCGATGAGATCTAAAACTTCCAACAGCTAGTGAGTACAACTTATGAAATTAAACTCTAAGTTAAAGTGACATGTCTCCAATAACAGAAAAAAAAAAAATCTTCCTCGCAGCAATCACACAACTTTGAAAAGTTCTTACTATAATTATCATCTGAGCAGATATTAAATGAAATTCTTCTAGTTTCAACATTTATTAATCTCCTGTCATTTATATGGTTCCAAAAAAAAGGGCATCATTTCTAACAACTGGTCCCTAACCAGGGGCAGAGTCATCCTTGGAAGGTAATTTGGGGTACCCGACTCTCTTCTGCCCCAGGCCAGGAGAGTCTGGCAGAGGGATTTGGTGGGATCATCTCTGCCCTGGAGGATCATTTATGAGGATCGTAAATGCTTTGTGTCTATTGCGAGTCTGTCTAGGCAACAGTTCAAGTAAACAGTTCATGGGGAGATGATGTCAGGCAACTCACACTATGCTCCCCATTCCGGGGCCCATCCTCACTCAGAGGCATAATCTGATTTGGGTGCTAAATTAGACGGTCCCTTTATGAAGACATTATCAACATCCCTGCAGCTTTCCGACACCCTTCATTTTTACCTCATAAATCCTGATGTCCCTCAAAGCAGCTCGGAGAGAAATTCTGAACTGCTGCCTCCTCTCTTCCTCATTCTACAATCAGAGGCGAGTGCTGGAGGAACAGGAATGGGCCCCACCTTACCTGGTACCTCTCCGTGGTAGAGATGAGGAGGGTGAAGGATATAGCAGTGGCTGCCATGGCGTGGGTGGAGGGCATTCCGTATTCTGTAACCACTCTCTTTTCGAGTTTCACAACGGGAGGGGACGAGGGCCGGGGCCACTTCAGGATGTCCTTGGCCACCTGACCAATGTACATCACCAACTGCAAAACCAAAGGGCCGAGATAAATATAACCCGATAAGGATGATAACCGTACCTCTGAACTGATCTGCTATCTGCCGTTCCCCCGTCTGCTGCCTGGAGTCCCCTCCCTTCTCTCTGCCCCACACTCGCTGGGGATGTTTTATAGGGCACCGCTGATCCCGACTGGGCTCTTGGTATATGTACAGCAAGCACGTTATCAGCGTGTCAGCCCCTCAATCTTATATTTAACAAACACTTGAGTACCGTGTGTGTGTGTGTGTATGTCAGGTGCCGCTGTCAGCCAAACAGTGTGTCTTCAGGATCCATGCTGTAGACTACTGCTGGAGGCTACCTCCAGCCCAGGAGTGGTCTGGACCAACGTGGCCCTCATACTCAAGTCAGACAACGATCGTGTAACCTTTAAATGCTCTCCCTGTAACTGTCTTCTAAACAATCAGACAGTTTTAAGATTTAACCACAGAAGTAACTGTTCTTATAAAACATTTCACTAAGCATTTTTTTTTTTTTTTTTTTTTTTTTTTTTGGTTTTTTGAGACAGGGTTTCTCTGTGTAGCTTTGGTGCCTGTCCTGGATTTTGCTCTGCAGACCAGGCTGGGCTCGAACTCACAGAGATCCACCTGGCTCTGCCTCCTGAGTGCTGGGATTAAAGGTGTGCACCACCACCACCCTGCTGCATTTTTTAAAAAAGCTATTGTCACTCCTGGTAGATGTAGGGAAGATGCCAGATAGAATTAAATTTCACTTAGAAAGCTATAAAATAAATAGTATGGGCATTCTGAGACTGATAGCAATGAGAAGTCAACCTGGAATTTGTGCAAAGATTTTTTCCCCCCCATGAGACCATTGAATGAAGAAATTTCCCTCATCATTTTAAAATATTATTTTTGTTTTGGATATATTTATTTTATGTACATGAGTGTTTTGCTTGCATGTATATATCTGTACTATGTGCTTGGTGACTGCAAAGTTCAGAAAAGGGCATGAGATTCCCTGGAACTAGAGTTACTGACGGTTGTGAGCTGCCCTGTGGGTGCTGGGAATAGAACCCGGGTCCTCCGCAGGAGCAGCCAGTGCACTGAACTGCTGAGCCATCTATCCAGCTCCCACACAATCTTTTTTTTTTCTTTCTAAGTAGACGCTAGAAATCAAGATTTGCTGTTCATGCTCTCTAAAACTGAATGAATGAGGCTGTTAACCACAGACTCATTTTTTTTGGTCAAAGAGCTTTATGTGGCCATCCCATGATCTTTGGAAGAGGAGACAAGAGCAGCATGGTTGCCCAAGTCCAACCTTTGCAACACAACTCATGGTCTGAGGGTTGTTAGAGACTGTACCACTGGAAGTGGGCCCCTCTCTCTGCCCCTTTCCTTTCCTCTCTTCCACCTTCCTCCCCTTCATTTCCTCTTTCTTTCCTCCCTTCTTCTCTCCATTCCGTCCACCTGAGGTGTTCTGTCTCTCCCCCTCCCTCCCTCCCTCCCTCTCTCTCCCCTCCCTCCCTCCTTCCCTCCCTCCCTCCTCTTCAGACCTTTGTCAGTGTGGGAGCTCAGGACCTCTTTCTGGCAGAAGAGTCTCCTGCACAGGTCAGTGTGTCAATGGCTTTAGTCATGAACCTCCTCATTGTAACTATGGCAATAGTATCCATGTTACCACGGCCTCATTTACCTTCTAGTGGGTGGGGTCATCTTGCTTTGGAATGGAACTCTTACGAGGGACTATTTCAAAATTATTTGGATTAGCCAACTAATTGCCAGGAATTTCCACATTCTGGGGCTTCCTTTCCACATTTCAAGTGGCAGGTTAATCTGGAGCTGCATCCCCACAGGAGGCACTGTGCCTGGGTTAGAACTCAGCAGGCCAAATCCCCAGGCTGTAAAGCCTCAGGGACAATCACTCTGAATCCCATCACTGTAATTTCCAATGGACTTTGAAACGCAGCCTCTTAACCATCTCTTATTACCAGAACAACTCTCCTGGAGAGCCACTCTTTGCATGTCCCCCCCCTCCCTCCTGGGAACCTGTAAAACCACATCCAGCTATTATCTAGGGAGGTGGCAAATACTATCGACTACTAAGAATTTCTGGGAGCTGCCTAAATACACCCCAACTCTGCCCCTTCCTCACCAACGTCAACAAAACATCAGACACAAATGACAGTCTAGCTCACTCAAAATAACTGAGAAGGCTCACAGACTGGAAGCCTTAAAATCATAACATCAGGAGAGACTGGGTAGCCCTCACTTGGACCAAACTTAATTTCCTTGAAGCTTACAAGTCCCTTTGACTTCATTTCTATTTTCCTTTCTAGGCTCAAAGGATGTTTGGAATTAGGACAATTGTTTACTTCACTTAACAAACTCACAGGGTAGAGCTCTGTCCCTGCAACTGCTACTTAGGACAACCTGGTGTCAGCTTGGCCTTGAGTAGGAAAAGGGCCGCATACAGTCTCACCAAACATACAACAGAAACAAACAAACAAAAACTCCTTTAACAAAAAGTTATCCACAGAGCTCTGAGGGTGCACCCTCTAGGTGGGGTCTGTGGTGTTATTGTGTTTCCCAATATATCGTGCACCCTAATAAATTTATCTGGGGTCAGAGAACAGAACAGCCACTAGACAGATATAGAGGCCAGAAAATGGTGGCACTCACACCTTTAATCCTAGCCTTCTGGAGGCAGAGATCCATTTGGATCTCTGCGAGTTCAAAGCCATACTGGAAACAGCCAGACATGGTGACTCACGCCTTCAATCCCAGGAAGTGATGGCAGAAAGCAGAAAGGTATATAAGGCGTGAAAACCAGGAACTAAGCTGGTTAAGCTTTTAGGCTTTGGAGCAACAGTTCAGCTGAGATTCATTCTGGATGAGGACTCAGGGGCTTCCAGTCTGAGGAAACAGGATCAGCTGAGGAATTGGCAAGGTGAGGTGGCTGTGGCTTATTCTGCTTCTCTGATTTTCCAGCATTCACCCCAATACCTGGCTCCAGGTTTGTTTTTATTAATAAGATCTTTTAAGATTCATGCTACAGGGGTCCTATTGGGAGCTGATGGAACCTTAGGCTGTGGGACCTAGTAAGAGGAAGTTAGGTCCTTCCATTGTATTTTTCCCCTTTCTCTTTGCTTCCTGGCCATCATGAGGTGAGCAGCTTCCTCTACCAGCACATGCTGCCTCACCCACCATAAAGCCAAAACAACAGGGTTTATAGATTTCAAACTTTCAAAACTGCAAATCAGAATAAATATTCCCTTTGTGTAAGTTGTTTATCTCAGGTATTTTGTTACAGTAGCAGAAAGCTAACCCCAACAGTACATGCAGAAAGACACTTGGGTCCAAAGACCCAAGGGCTGAGTATTAAGGGAAATGACTTAATTCAGATGAGTGCTGTGGATCTCACTCTGCATGCTGTGAATGTGTTGCTCTGATTTGGTTGATAAATAAAACGCTGATTGGCCATTAGCCAGGCAGGAAGTATAGTATAGGTGGGATAAGCAGAGAAGAGAATTTTGGGAACAGGAAGGCCGAGTCAGGAGCCACCAGTCAAACACAGAGAAAGCACGATGTAAAGGCAGAACTGAAAAAAGTTACCAAGCCACGTGGCTAAACATAAATAAAAATTATGGATTAGTTTAAATGTAAGAGCTAGTCAGTGGTAGGCCTGAGCTAATGGCCAAACAGTTCTAATTAATACAAGCTTCTGAGTGATTATTTTATAAATGGCTATGGGGTCTGTGGGGCTGGACAGGACTGGGAAAAACTAGCTACAGATGAGTGAAGGGAAAGAGGTGTCTAGGTTGCAAGGACAGGATGAGCAAAGGCTTGGTATAAGGGACAGTGGGGAGTGTAGGGGGAGTTGCAAGAAGGCCAGAACTACCGGGTTGAACAAATGAGGCACACCAGCACACATCTACTTGGAATGGCTAAGGCAAATGGAAGCAAGCACATCAGGCAGTAGCAGAGATAAAGCATTCTCGAGCTCTTCTTAGACACTGAGAAAATCCAAATGCGCAACCACTCTGGAAAAGTCTGGCAGTTTCTAAAGACATTAGGTATACTTTCATCGCATGATCCAGCCACACCACCCTAGACATTTACTCCAGACAAATGAGACCATATGCCACACAAAGGTTTGCCGATGAATGTTCACTGCATGTGTTTTTGAAGCATAGTCCCAAGCTGGAAACAGCTCAACTCCACCAGAAGGTGAGTAAAATGTGGTGTCGCCATACACTTGAATGCTACCAAGAGAAAACAAAAACCTGAGCAGTGGACGTATATTTACAGTAGAGGCGAAGCTCAGAACAATGTCGCAGAACGAAGCGATAGATGAGCAAGCGGCGCGGCTGAATACTTCTATTTATATAGCATTCTTAAAAATGCGACCCGACCTCCGTGTCTAGCAGATACCTTTATATCAAGGGTACAGCTAGAGTGGGGAATCTCAGGAATGGTTGGAGGGAGAGCAATTAAGAAAATACTGCAGAATCGAGGTGGAGAGACACCAGTGCAATGCAGGCCAGCAGCGGGGAGAGATTCGAAAAATGCTTTGTGTTGCTTTTTCTTTTTAATCATGTAACAATATTGAGTAGGTTTATAGCGGTCAGGAGAACAACTAGGGAGGAGTCATGGTAGTAAGACGAAAGAAAGAAGGTGAAGGAATATGACCCTAGAGCCTACCAGGTATGTGGAAGTGCTTTTCGGGATGAGAAGAATTAGCCACCAGTTCTTAGCATCAGTGGATGCTCTCCAGGTTAGCTGTGATTATAGGTACCACTAGCATGGCTAGGGGAGGAGGCTGAGGATGCTAACTGCTTCCTGATAAACAGGACCATACTACTTGGTGAAAACTGGTCTTAGGTGACCCTCGTGTTTCCACCAGGTAAAAAGTCTATTGCGCCGGGCGGTGGTGACGCACGCCTTTAATCCCAGCACTCGGGAGGCAGAGCCAGGCGGATCTCTGTGAGTTCGAGGCCAGCCTGGTCTACAAAGTGAGTTCCAGGAAAGG